ATTTTCTTGATTTCAAGTGATCGTTCATACGATGAAAGTGCTTTCGAGTACTCGCCCATGTTCGTATACACCAACCCGATGTTGTTGTAGGAAGCAGCCAAGTTGGGATGATTCGGAGGGCGAATTTTTTCGTCGATATGAAGTGCTTTTTCGTAAAAAGGGAGTGCTTTTGAGTATTCACCTAGGTTGTTATATATCCATCCCAGTTGATAATTGTATTCCGCTCGATCTTCATCAGACGACGCCTTTGCGAGGAGAATCTGATAAAGTTGTTCTGCTTTTGCAGGCTCGCCCAGTTGAATAAGTATGTCACCAAGTCGAGACCATCCTGTGCGGTCACCAAGGTCCTTACGTATGTGTGCTGTAAGTGTGTTCAATTCATGATTGTCATTATCCACAATAGTGAGATTAACTTCGTATAGCCGATCAGAGTGATTATCGGGAATTTGTTCAATGCGATCGATACGAAAAATCGCATGCGTTGTAAAAAGTATTTCTTCTTCCTTGTCTTCGAAGAAGCCAACTTTGTTAGTTACTTCAGCAAATGGTATCGATGATTTTGTGCAAATAGCCGTATCAATGTTCATAATAAAGAGGATGCCAACTGAATTAGGATTGTTTGTAGCTGGTCGTGCAAAGTTTTTGAAAGATATCTCACAATTGCGACTTGTCGAGAGAAAATTATTGAAGGACATAAGTCCTCCTATGGTTTTTTTCATTTTGTCAAAGTCTTCCATGGACAAACCTTGTCCACGAAAGACTTGAAGTTTTGTTGGCATGTTGTCTTGTTGTTGACGATGTAATTCAGTAATATGATTATGTAAATGGCGAATGAAGAAACCCATTTTCAGAATAATATCGATATCCATTTGTCGAAGACCACAATTGAGCATTGAGTAAATAAAATATGGACCTGTGTACCACCAAATTGGTGAATGATCACGGTATTCTTGTCCGATCTTTTCAAGTGTTTTTTTGGAAACATCGTCTTGAAGACGACAGTATTCAACGAGTTCCTTAATCGATTTTGCATCATCATCTTCTATTTCCAAAAGTGCTTCTTTTAACAATTGTGTATACATAAATAGTGGATCAATTCTATTAAAACTTATCGAGATCATAGCTCGATCACAATTTTCTTGATCGATTTGTAATGCTTTACAAATCGGTTCGATTTGTGTGTATATACCCTTTATCTTAGGTATTGTTTTGGCCCATTCCTCATGAATCGATTGATTGTCACATAAAATATAAATTGAGACTAACTGTGGGCATTCTTGAATTATCGGTATTATGTGTTGTGCCAGGGCACCTGATACGACCATAAATACTTTTTCGTTCTCAATGTCAGTGAGAAAATCAACGGATTCGTCAACGTCTGCAAACACTGCGACCGTTGCCACCATATGTTGCAGATGTTTCATTGGTTTTTCATAATCGTCTTTGGACTCATCGAAATCGGCATCAAGCCAGACCAAAAGAAAATTTTGAAGCATCTGACGGACGGGGCCTGGCTGTGTGACATTTCTACTCACCACTGTCGTTGCTTCTGCTGTGGATGACTTATTTGATTTACTTGTGGTAGACGACGATGAGTTATTAGCATTTGGTTTCAAATTTTGCTTGTTCATTTCGCTGATAATGACGATGATGGTGATGACCTTTTGATTTTCTTGTTCAATTTACGTAAATGAATGGGAACGTGGATACTTGTTGCACACTGTAAAATATCAAAAAAACAAAAATATTTCGTCTCTCTCTCTAAATATATTTCGGTTTTTGCTTCCTTTTTATGTTGACACTTTCGGGTTTGTTTGGCTGGTTGTTATCAACTTGAAGGACTTCTTATCTGGATTATTCTTTCCATTATTTCAAAAGTGTTGCTGGCTAAATGTAATAGGCAAAATCTGTGTACATGCTTCAGATATGAGATAACGAAGAATAAGAACAACACATGCAAAAAAGAATTGCATTATAGTCATAGATAATAGAAAAGAAAAAAAGAACTTCTAAATAGGATTTAAACTTATTTTTGTTCTTTCCTACTGTTGTTCCTTTCGGTTGCCTTGGACTTCAATACGAAAGAGCGATGAATGGCAGTGTCTTATTAGTCGATGATGGCTTCTACTGTTGCCAACAATGCAAGGGTGTTGGCGAGTGTAAGGTGTGGGTGGGTATTTGTGTATAGAAGTAACCTTTGCTTACAACCACACCCACATCCACAGTCACACCCTCGTAACCAACGCTTTTCCTCCTGATTTTGAAAACTATCTGTGTAGTCCTCTCTTTTCCTCAGACTCAACTATGCTGTACGCCATCTGCCTGCTTCCAGCGCAAAATAACATCTTTAGACATACTTCTAGTATTTACAAGATCGAAACATATCCCTATTGAACGTGTAGGTGTGGGTGTGGGTGTGGGTGTGGGTGTGGGTGTTGGTGTGCGTGTGGGTGGGTGTGGGTGTGGGGTCTGGGTGTGGGTGTGGGTGTGTGAGTGTGAGTGTGGGTGTGGGTGTGGGTGTGGGTGTGGATGTGGGTGTG